TCCGATTCAGAACAGCCAATTTACTCTATGATTTTTAACATAATATTGTCAAAACAGTAGGTTTGCTATATTGCACTGCACAGAAAAGAAAAGTGTAAAAATTTCAGTAATGTTTATTCAAGTCTTATATGCCTTATCAATGCATTTCAATGAACAAACTTTTAGGATTTTCTCTCCTTTTTGTATTTCAAATAGCACAGCACCCTCTGGTGCATCCGCTAGAAAAAGAAAACAACTAACAATAAACACCAGTCATTGTGATAAAAAAGTCAACATAAAAAGAAGAAAAAAGGAGTCCTTAGAAACAAAAATATAGAAAAATTATTAGAAAACTAACTTCAATTTCATTCTTCCCTATTAAAATCTTTTGTAATTGAGATAATTATAACTACTGAATAAAAAATTTTAGAAGAAACCTGCAGATATGCTAAGACAGCGAGGTGCCAGAAAAATAAAATTAAACATACATTTGTTTCACACTAATGTTGTGTTCTTACTAGTAATTCATTTGTATTAAAAAATATTCCAAAAAGAAATAATCTTTAAGTAGAAAAGATAAGGCAGTGAAACAAAATGTTACACCAAGCAATATATCTGCTCTTGGTCTTGCAAGAGTAATGTTTACTAGGTCTACAGCTATCCACACACTCAAATTGCTGAATTTCACACCAAAATACTCACATCTCCTTTCAAAGTCCAATGAGAAAACAAAAAATTAAAATTATTGTATTATATGAAATATTTAAAACTCTGCTGACATTTTAAGTATTAAAGCATAAAGTCTAGTATGACACATCAAACTATTAAAATACACCTAGTTACTAGGAAAATAATTTCCTACAAAAGTACATTTTTCTAATCACAGAAGTGGAGATCACCATCTGCTTTAGGAAGCTCTTTTGTAAACCTCTGGAAGAAGGCACAAGGAATGAAAGTGACACCTGTTTAAATCAGCCATCTGTCCCTAACAAACTAGATTTAGCCAAATCTAAAAATCAAAATCTCAGATGAGAGAAAAGAGAAGTATTGTTTTGATTGACAACCAACTGTAGGCAAAATACATAGACAATAAACTTGTGGCTAATTGAAATAAAAGGTGTTAAACTTCAGTTATTCATTTTAAAAGCCTCATTAAGTTTTCAGCCCTAATTTTTGGCCAAAAGAAAAAAAAAACCCAAAAAAATTTTCATTGATAAATTCAAAACATTCTTCTTTTTGTATTCTAGTACATAAATTTAACAATTTTGCTCAATTTTGAAATGGAATTCCAACTACAAGGATACTAAATTGCCACTGAAAGCTTATTTTTTATTTGTATTGTAGAGCATTCATATGTCTTTCCAACTGACAATGATTTTAAAAAATATTTTAATAGTCATATATATTTTTAAAGCCTATTCATTTTTTAAGCATTCTGCATGACACATACCTGCAGGTGGTAAGCTGTTGAAGACTGCATGTAAAAAATAAAACTTATACAGAATATTTTCAGAGGGAAGAAAGCCTTTCAAATTAAAGCATGAAAATGAGAAAAATTAACTACAACACTAAAAGGAACTACAATGATAAACTACTATTGCATTATAGCCACTGGCTTATGTTTCAAGTAAGAGAAGCAAACAAAAGCAGCTGGACTTCTCAAAAGTTTAGTGAATGGAAATAATGTGCAACATTTATTTCTCTAGGCAGTTTTTGATTAACAATACCCTGTCAGGAAGGAACAAGAAATGGGATAGTGCTAACAAAGCTGAACCTAATTATCTAATAAAGCATCATGTCTTTAAAATCTTCAACAGCTTTTGACAGTATATTTGACACTGATTTCTTTTACCTACACTATCTTACTGAAAGGATTTCTTCAAAGTAGCCTAATGAAGGTTAGTTGACTAGTAGCACAATAGAGCAGCTGATCCTTACTGTTTTGTTTGGATATGTTGAAACAAAACTAGATAGTCACACTCTGTAAGTCATGAAAACCTATACATTTAAAATAAATAAATAAATAAATAAATAAATAAATATCACAAGCCATGTCATTTTTAAACACTAGTTAGCATTACAAACACCAACTATTTTGTTAGCTGTGGTCATTAGGGAATCAGAATGTATAATGCAGATGTCGTCTGTGATCACTGCAGTATCTCAGAGAGAATAAAAAGTCAATACTTTTCTCAGTGCAGTCCATAATATTAAAAGCAGTGATTACACCTTCTTTATTATTTTCCAAATTGTAGTCACTGGCAAAGGAACATGCAGCCAAATAGCACTACAAAGGTCATTGGTTTTAGACAAAAACATGTGCTTTTAATATGATTTTTCAGAAACACCTGTATACATCACCCAGAAGAATTAGAACAGAAACTTTGTCTCACACACAGGCACACACTTTCCTTTGCTACCCAGTGGCCTGGATATATGTTCTGCAAAGACAGATTTCAATACCCAGGAATAATCCCATCCTGAGCAGTATTCTGTCCTGCTCTAAGAGAGCTTCTCAAGAAAGGTATGGCGCAGAACTGACATCTTTTCAACAACAACAGATGCCAGGAATTATTTCAAAACCAATTAATCACAGAAACTAACAACAAATTCATGAAGACTTAGATGTGCCATATAATTGATACCCTACTAGAACTCACACTGAAAATTCTTAGTGTATTTAGAACTTATTTACACCAGGGCCTACAAAATTAGCACACAGTGGCTTCATCTTGGAGTAAAAAAATTAAAAGATGACGATGTAGGGGCTTTTGGTCATTATCTAAAATAATTTATTTTCTAAGTTCTTGTGAACTATGAAATATTAAAACACATTTTAAAAAAGATCCAATATGTCTTGCCCTGAGGAAAATCAGTATCAAACAATGCACTAACCACTTAGCAGATCTTTTAGTTAATACCTGCTTGAAAAAATTGCCCCAGTCACTCTCATTGGTAGTTCCAATGTGAGACAACTCCTGTATCTTACACTGGATATCTAAGGATATAAAAATGGAAAAGGTGTATGCACAATTACATGTAGGGTTTAGATTAAAAACAAGAGCATTATTTTTCCTAATTATATTACTAAATAAATAAGGAAATAAATAAGTCACCACTTCATATCTACCAAAACAACACATGATTTGACAAGTCAAAGGGGAGAGTGGAAGTGGGTATGGAAATGTTAAGATGTTAAATGTTTCATTGGCATAAAAGATGCCAAAAATTCACTTCATCCAAAGAATTTAAAAAGTATATGAAGTATGATTTGACATCAATGACGACACAAATCTTTAGACCTTAATAAGCAGTCACAAAATGGATGAAGAAAGCAAGCATTTTGGATTAGAACTAAGAAGGAAGTCATACTCATTAATAACATGAGTCCTCCTACATCTCTTTGAGGGGTAAATAGCTGCCCCTTCCCTCTTTCACAAAAGTACTCCTGAAAAGCAGTACCACTAAGAAAATCACACAGACTTCTTTTTCATACTGTTTTTTCCTCCTTTCTTTGCTGCTTAGCACTGAAACCCACAGTCAGTGTCTTGAATTTCCTTCATCGTGGAGAGTTTAAGGAAACAAATGGATTCGCTCAACATGAACATAACTCACTGTGCAATAAACTAGACCTACACAGGCACTGTTCCATGCTACACTGTCACTATGAAAGCATAATTTAAAAACAATTCCCTGCACAACGAGTACAATAAGAAAAAAACCCAACCTGCTACTCTATTTATGTATTAGCGGGGGTATTGAATAAACAAAACCCCACTTCCCAATACAAAGAAAATATAGCTTACGCAAAACCAAACTGCAATATTAATTATGAATAAAAGAAAAAATTACACAGAGAAAGTACAAAAAATAAAAGGGGGTTGATATGATCGATAGTACGAGAGTATCATTAAAAGATGTAGCAAGTTCACAAAAACCTGCAACATTTAGTCATTTAGTAGTCAAATCAAATCAGAACAAGGCCCCTCTAAGTGAAACGGGGAAATCAACCCCTGCTCTTGCTGTCCTACAGGATCCGTCTCCGACTGCATCTTTCCTCTCGACCCTACGCCTTTTTTCAGGTTTAAAGCCATTAACCTTTGACTGCGGCCGCAGCGCATTCCCTGATTTCTCCATTTCCCGACCCGTACAAACGAGACCCAACTCAGACGCACACCCACCGCATCCCAGCGATTGTCCTGGAGGTCCCGCAGCGTGCCTGCGTCCCCGGCATCGCCCAGCCTTTCCTCCTCCTCGGCCCGCACGGCGGCTGGCCCCGCTCCCCGCCCGACACCCCCGTCTATGCCCGCCGCCCCTCTCCCCCCGACCGCACAGCGCTCCCGAGAGGGCCCCGGGGGTTCGGCGGGGAGCTCCGCGTCCCCTGGCCGCCCCGCGAACACGGGCGCAGCCCGAGGGCGCAGCCCGGGCCCGGATGCCTCAGGGAGAAGGAGGAGGGAGGGCCGGGGTGCGCCCGCCGAGCGCATTCACCTGTGCCGGGGCGGGCTGCGGCGGCGCTCCCGCTGTCGCTGCTGCTGCTGGCGGCGGCTGCGGTTGTTGTTGTTGTTGTTGTGGTGGGTGACGGTGAGGCAGGGGGTGCGGAGCAGCGGCAGGAGGAGGAGGAGCAGGAGCGGGAGCGGAGCGGCTGTTGTTGATGGGTAACAGTCGCCAGGACTACGGTGACTATGGCGCTCGACTCACAAGGCAACGGTTGCTATAACTCACAAAAGGAGAGCGGGAGCGGGAGGGAGGGACCGACGGGCGGACGGAGGGAGGCGGGGGCGGCGGCGCGGCCGAGCGCCCCGGAAGGGGCGGGGCCTGCGGTAACGGCTGGCGCGGGGCGGCTTTCCCGGCGCCCCGGCCCGGGGCACGCGCCCGCCCGGTTCTCGGCCGGCGCGGGGGGAGCGCGCACGGTGGGCCCGGCGCCGTGCGGGGCGCGCGGCGACCGCGCGAAGCCCGGCGGGGGGGTGTGGCCGCGCGGGGGCCGCCTTACGCCACTTCCGGCAGGGGGCCGGGCAGGAGGGGCTCGGCGGCCGCCGTCCCTCCCGCCTCAAGATGGCGGCGGACAGGCTGCTCCCCCACCGCCCGTGGCCCGCGCTGCCATTTTCGAGGGGGGAGGAGGAGGAGGAGTGGGTCGCCGGCGACAAGTGGCGATGGAAAGGGAAGCGCTGCCGCCGCTATGCTTGTCGTTTTTCCTGTCCCACCGTCTCGCCGGTGGCCTCGTGTCAACCCTGCCGACCCCGAACTTGTGCGGGGCCCGAGCCAAGGCCCCGGAGTGCCCGGTGGCCGCTCTCAGCCCACGTGGCTTTCTGGCCGAGTGGGTGCGTTGGGCCCTTGTCCCAGCTGGCGCACCGACTCACAGAATCCATTAGGTTGGAAAAGACCTCTGAGGTCGCCGATTCTAATCCGTGACCAAACACCACTATGTCACCTAGACACTGCACTGAGTGCCACGTCCAGTCTTTCCTTAAACACTTCCAGGGAGGTTAGCACTAAATGAGGTTACGGGATGCTCTCCTGACAGGCTGTGTCTGTTCCTTCCAGGTGTATAGAGAGTCACAGGGTTGGAAGGGACCTCTGGAGATCATCTAGTCCAACCCTACCCCCGCCCCGTGCCAAGGCAGGGTCATCCAGAGCTGGTTGCACGGGAACGTGTCCACGTGGGTTTTGAATGTCTTCCGAGAGGGGATATCCAGGACCTCGGTGGGCGGCCTGTCCCAGTGCTTGCCAAACTCAGGAAGTTCCTTCAGTGGGTATGTATATGTTGAAGCTATGTATAGTGGCCCTACGTCTGCAGGCTGCTACTGTGTCTCCCGGTGGTCCCTGTGCATCGCCATCTGCAGCCTGTTACTAACCAGAAATGTATCTCTGAAGCTTTATACACAGTGGCAGCAGTCTGTGTTGCCAGTAATGCTATAATCCATGTAAACCGTGGAGTTCCCCCTTTATCTATGTACTGGTCTGTGTCCTCACATGTTCTACCAACCTATGGTTTACCAGTCCCATCTTTTTAATACCTCCTGCTAAGAGCACCTGACATTTGTGTGGAATGGTCTACAACCAATTCTACTCCACTTGTCCCTACAGAAAAAAATTGAAATTGCTCTTACATTAGTAGATTCACTCTGATTTTCAGGGCCCTGTGCAACCATCTTAAGCTATGGCAACTATTTACTAAAAAATACTGGGAATTAGGGTTAAGTGTATACAAATAAGATCTTGATTGACAGAGATTTAAATCCATAACAGAACAATCTTGAATTAATAAAACTGTTTAAAGCCCTTCTACAGCTGAAGCTATGTCTTAATATTTCTGCTGTGGAACCTGATTTTTGAGAGATGGTAAACTAGTAACTTCAGCTGAGATCTTCAACCTCATTGGATGTCTGGGTGTTTTAAGAGGTCACCCTCACATGACTAACCTTTTCAAAAACATGAAAATGAGACACAACTATAAGCAATCTAATTTAATAAAAATATATAGCAATGCATTCAATTAAAGGTAAAATATGTTTTGATAAATATCTTTCATTCTATCTAGCAAATACAGATGCTTTAATTTAGCTTGTACTTGGAAAGCTTTTATGATTTGTGTTTCATACATTTTTAAATTTCATATGAACAAGGTTCATACTATTTGGTTTGGTGGAAAACCAAACAGAGGTGTCAGATACTGAGTAGTTTTACCAGAAAACTGTTGCTAAAGCGATGTGACCTAATTCCATGGTAAAGCTTTAGCAACATTCATGTCATCTATGTTGCTAAAGAAAGCATTGATGTTAAGTATTTTAATTCTGGATATTTTCTGTTGTGTCAATTGTCACTTGCATTGTTATGTGCTTGGCAACCTTAGTAGGGTGAACTGTGGTGAATGTGTAAAGTTGGAGGATAAAAGCATTGGGCTGTTGATTTTCTTCCTGAAATCATGGAACTTTATGTGTCTATATGTGTGGAAAGAGCAAATCAGGGCCTTGGCAGAAATTTAAAATATCTTATAAATATCACTATACATCTTCCCTGGGCCAGTATATTAGTGAATATTTGAATTTATGGCAACATTTCAGTCTATAGGAAAATGATCAATTTCTTTGTTAAAGGGAAGTGTATACTTTCAAATAAAATAAATTTCAAATAAATTTCTGCAAATTTGTATCCTAGCATTTTATCAATTTGATCTTTATCAAAGACTTCATTTTTTATGAAGACTTTTTTTTAAATTTATACAACAGTTATTCGCTGCAAGACAATCCCTAAAACATTCAGTCCCTTCATAGAATTTTTGTAACTAATGACATTAAACAACCTGCCAAATTTAAATATGAAAGCAGTGTTGATTAAAAGTGGTTGTGTTGCTCAAAGCCTTGTGTTTTATGTTTAGATGCAGAATATGCTGCATAGTAAAGTAATTTTATACCTTTTTACATGGATAAGGAACAATCAGAATGTAATGAATGTTTTTTACTAAAAGATGGTTGGACAGAAGTTGCTTGTGTACCTTGAAAATTATCACTTTCTGTTGCCAGATTCAAATCTTCAACACCTCTGAAAAAATAACTGGTGTCATATGCAGGAATTTCTACTGCAATCTTGTATGTTGCAAATGGTAATGGAAGACTTTCCCATTTCTTGTTCCTATTAATTCCTATTAATTCCTTTTTTTTCATACTAGATTTATAATACTTTAAGTGTTTTATTTTCAACAGAGCTACATTGCTATCCTTTCAGAACTTTTTCGAAGCACAGAATCTTACACAGTTTGTTTCCTATTAAGTCATAATTAGCCTGTCTAGTAATTTTGTATAACATTGCCCTTTTTTTATTTATGTCCATTTCATAGGTTGTTTGCATTTCCAAATGGTTTTCAGATACATTCTGCCATTTGTTGCATTTCTGAAACGTACCACAAGTCATTCCTGCCACAGAACACAGTAGCTATCTGTCTTATGAAGCAGTACGAAGACAATCCAAAGTACTAAGGAAAAGTGTGTAAGAGCAATCCAACTGATTCAGACCATGGATATACTTACTGGACAAAGTAGTGTAAGTTAATGCCTTGACAAGTGCAATAAGAAGCATAAGTGCATTTTGCTTATTTAACTTTGCCAACCTATCTCCATTTTCATGATTTTCTGAACTCTGCATGATAATCTTTTTATCTATATCAGAGAGTCTTTTCCAAAAACTTCGCTAGTCACCCCATAAACTCATGTAAGTTTACTTTGCATTTGCAATATCTTTCATCAAGAATTGCCAACCATCTGGAAGCTGTTATATGAGGAAACAAGCCCTTTTGCTTTCTAGTCCTGTTGATTTGTGTGATTTTCATTCTTAAGGGTGCTCATGATGTGGGGGAAAGAGGCAAAGGAGGCATGTATAGATGCTGATGTTAAAGGATAGGCAATTTAGGCCGATCCAGACACTCCAATGTCCAATTGCTTGCCTGGCATGATTCTTTTGGATACTGTTGTAAATATAAAGAAGGCTAAACAATTCTACCTAAGTTAGTTACTTAGTTATTCCTTACCTTTCGGGTAAACAGTAGGACATATAACAATCTTTCTCTTTTGCTATCTTAGAGCCGTAACAAGTCACTCGTCTCTTGAGTATTTTCTGCTTAGTCTCTTTATGGAGGGAATATTCCCTCTTACTTGGTGATCTGCATACCAGTTATATGTGGTACATGTTCTGCAAATGCCTACTAATATTTTGATATTTGTATAGGGTTAGGTGAAGTTGTCTTGGTCTGTAGGGTCAGTTCCTTGGAGTTTGCACGAACAGTATATGGGGTTTTTTTGTTTACTTTTCTTCTTCAGTTAGCATCCTAGAATGTCATAGAATCACAGTCCTAAAATATTTTGCGTTGGAATGGACTTCTACAAATGTCATCCGGTCCAACGCCCCTGCAGTGAGCAGGGACATCTCCTGTTAGATCAGGTTGCTTGAATCCATATCCAGTATGACCTTGAATGGTTCAAGGGCATCCACCAGCTCTCTGGGAAAATTTTGGCCATGCATACCATCCTCATTGTAAAATATTTCCTCCAAATATCTAATCTGTATACCTTTCTTAAGCTTAAAACCATTACCCCTGTCCTATCGCTACAGTCCCTACTAAAAGGTCTGTGTTAATCTTTCTTGTAAGTCCCCTTTATAAGTACTAAAAGGGCACAATAATATTTCCCAAGAGCCTTCTCTTCTCCAGGCTGCTCAACCCCAAATCTCTCAGCCTTTCATTATATCAGAGGTGCTCCAGCCCTAAGTCGTGTGGCCCTCCTCTGAACCTGCTCCAATCGATCCATGTCTTTTCCTTTTCCATGTCCTTTCATGTCCATGTCTTACCAAGGGTTCCAGAGCTGGATGCAGTACTTCGGGTGGAGTCTCACTAGAGCAGAGTACAGGGGGACAGCCACCTCCCTTGCTAATCATTCAGGTACATCAGGATTCCTCTATCGATCTGTACCAGATAGTTGAGGAACTAAGACACCTTTTCCTTTGCTGACACAAATGCCTGTGCAGTCTGCATGTTTGACCTTGGGGATGGGAACAGATGGCCTCACTGCTTTGTTGGGCTGGAGACTCAGTACACTTTAGGGTTGCCTAGGCATTCTGTTATACTGCTATGCTGCTCTGCAAGTCCTGGGTTTTGATGAGGATAAGTTGATACCTTTTCCACATAGAAAATACTTGATTTTCTTAAATTATATTTTGTCCTTGCTGCTGGTCCTCTCATCAGTGGCTGATGAGACATCACTAGTTGACCATCAATTTGGTGTCTTCCTTGTACTATGAACTGTGTCCACACAGTTTTACAAGCAGCGCACTTTCCTGGATTCTCTGTAGGTTTCTTTGTGGCCCACTGTTGATAATTCCGAGACACAAGTCATGGGCAATACACCATTTACAGGAATGAGGAAGGGGCAAGATTGCAAGAACCAATCATAAATGCTGATCATAAAGAGCATGTGTAAAACTGATGACGCCTAGCCTTTTATGTGCATGAAAAGCATTGCAGGGTATGGCATAAGCTGTGCATACTGAGAGCTTTCTGCTCCTACCTCTGTGCTTGCTATGCACTGGTGGACTTAAGTGGGTGCAGCCTAATCACTGAGCTGAGGCACTTGCATCTGCATTAGCAAATTAAACATGTTATGTAAACTCATGGAATGCACCTTCCATGGGTTACATTGGAAACTGTTTTGAAATGCTGTATGAAGTTTGTATGTATGAAAATGGCATCATGAAGGGAATCAAAGCATATTACAGAGTGTAATAGATTTGCCTTGACAGTGTATGAGCTTCAGTATGAACTAAAATGCTGTAGTATCACATCCATGGATAATTCAGAAGCTTGACGTGTTAATCAGTATTTTCAGTATAATTAGTAACTTAGAGATAAAAAGGGAGGATTTATGACCTTTGGAAGAAGTAGGTAACTCAGGAAGAGTACAAAGATGTCATTGGCACATGTAGAGAGAAAATTAGAAAGGCAAAAGCTCAACTAGAACTCAATCTGGCCACTGCTGTGAAAGATAATAAAAAGTGGTTTTATAAATACCTCAACAAAAGGAAGGCCAAGGAAAATCTCCATCCTTTAATGGGCATGGAAAACATTGTCACCAAGGATGAGGAAAAGGCTGAGGTCCTCAATGTCTTCTTTGCCTCAGTCTTTAACAGTAAGACTCATCCTGAGGGCAACCAGCCAGATCTTCTGCAATACATGATGAAGTACTGAGCTATTTAGACACTCAGAATTCTATGGGATTGGATGGAATTCAGTCAAGGGTACTGAAGAAGCTGGAAGAAGCACTCACCAAGAAATTCTCCACCAGTAGTTCTGGCTAACTGGGAAGGTCTCAGACCTGGAGGCTGGCCAACATGATGCTCATCCTCAAAAAAGGTTGTAAGAAGGATCTGGGGAACTGCAGGCTGGTGAGTCTGACCTCACTGCTGGGGAGGGTTATGGAACAGATTGTCTTGATTGTAATCACTCAGCACATACAGGACAACCAGGGGATCAGGCCCAGCAAGCTGGGATTTAGGAAAGACGGGTCCTCCTTGGTCAACGCAATCCCCTTTTAAGACCAGACGACCTGCCTAATGGATGATGGAAGAGCTCCTGGATGTTGTCTATCTGAACTTTAGCAAAGCTTTCAATATTGTCTCTCATGGCATTTTTCTGTAAAAGCTGGCAGCCCGTCTCTTGGCCTGGTACACTGTTTACTGGGTTAAAATCTGGCCAGGTGGCCAGGCCCAGAGGGTCGTGCAAGGAGTTAAATCCAGCTGGTGGCCAGTCACCAGTGGTGTTCCCCAGGGCTCAGTACTAGAGCCAGTTCTGTGTAGTATCTTCATCAGTGACCTTTACAAGGGTGTCAAGTGTAGCCTTAGTAAGTTTGTGGACAACACCAAGTTGGGTGGGAGTGTTGATCTGCTGGAGATTGGGAAGATTTTTCAAAAGGATCTGGACAGGCTGGATCATGAGCCAAGGTTTCCAGGTCCTGCCTTTGGTTCACACCAACCCCAGGCAGTGCCACAGGCTGCAGGGTGCAAAGCTGCCCCAGGAAAAGGCCCTGGGGGTGCTGGTGACAGCAGCTGAGCATGAGCCAGCAGTGCCCAGGTGGCCAAGAAGGCCAATGGCATCCTGGCCTGTGCCAGCAATGCTGTGGCAGCAGGAGCAGGGCAGGGATTGTTCCCCTGTGCTGGGCACTGGTGAGGTCACACCTCAAATCCTGTGCCCCTCACTCCAAGAAAGACATGAAAGTGCTGGAGCATGTCCAGAGAAGGGCAGTGGAGCTGGGGAGGGGTCTGGAGCACAAGTTCTGTGAGGAGCAGCTGATGGAGCTGGGGTTGTTTAGGCAAGTGAAAAGCAGGCTTAAGGGAGACCTGTCACTATCTACAACTGCCTGAAAGGAGAGTATAGCCAGGTGGGAGTTGACATATTTCCCCAGGCAACAAGTAACTGGACAAGAGGAAATGGCTTCAAACTGTGCCAGGGGAGGTTCAGGTTGGGCATCAGGAGGACTTCCTTCACTGCAAGGGTTGTTAAGCATTGGAATGGGCTGCCCAGGTACTTGGTGAAGTCACTATTCCTGGAGGATTTCAAGAAATTTCCAGATGTGGCACTAAGTTCTGTGGTTGAGTTGACCAGGTGGTGATAGATCAAAGGTTGGACTCAATGATCTTGGAAGTCTTTTCCAACCTAATGATTCTGTGCTTATGTGATTTAAAGTTGCTTAGAGTTTGGCTGCACTGTGTTTTTAATAAACTGGTATCATACACAGAAGTGTCTGTAATTATTTTTAAAATTATATTGAGATATGTTCCTAGAGCACTTCTACCTGTTATAATGAGTAAAAACAACCCAGGTGCAGTATAAGACATTTGTTTTTCTTCAGTATCTGATATTAAAAACGTGAAATACTTTTAGTAGTCATATATTATGCCACATTGTTTCTGAACTAAAGAAATACAGATTTGTTTGGTTGCCATGCAAAACCTGAGATTATAGAAACCACTGAGAATCTGTATTTCTTTTCAGAAAATTACAAAAATTTTCAGCCCTAATCCTGAAAGAAATTCCTTTGATAATAGAATTCAGGGGGTTTTTAGTTGTTTAACCAGAGTTGGGGTAGTAATTTAAACAATTGCTGCAAAAAACAATTTCGCTCCAAATTTTCAATGTCAGGGAATGGTGCCAAATTGATGACTTTTGTAGGTGTGGTGATATGTGACACAGGGCCTGAGTCTAAGCAGTGGTGTTTGTACAGACACCAGAGGTGTTCATCTAGCTGGCTGGCCATAGATGAGGCTTTAAAACTTCTTCTTTATGCTCAAATACAATGACAGAAAAATCTTTGCATGGGTGGATGGAATTATTCTCTTGATCTGTTCTGATTAAATCAATATATTACAGACAGTGACAAAAGATAAAGTAATTAATTGCCACTTTCTGCACACTGGTGTCCAGCAGAGTTAGTACAAGTCCTTGCCTTCATCACAGTGTGGCTGGACTTCGTAACTGCTGAACACCAAGTGAGCATTGC